AAAAGGTGTAACCACATTTTGGCAAAACGAAAAGTATTTAAACTTGCAAATATAATGAAATAAACCATAAATATACACAAAACATACTTTCATACGAGGCAATAATAATAATCATAATAATGATAATAAATAGTTTTTAAGTTAACAATAAGTTAAAACTACAAGCTTAAAGTCGCCCAAATAATACAAGTTCATTGGCGCTATATTGATTTTTTTTTTCAGTTTAAATTATTTATGTTGCAACAAAAGCTACCACAGACTTTTACAAACACAATTAAACACATTTTGATTGAAAAGAAATAATTCTAACTAATTCTAAAACCTGCATACACTGTAAGAACAGCAACTAATTATAAATAATGGAAACAAATATAAGAAACCATACCCAACAAAAGGAACTGAAACGAAATATTCGACCCACATGTGTCTTCTATGGCAACATCAACAACACAAATACACTAAGTTAACGTGTGATTCTGATATGTAAAGAAAATCAATAAATTACAGGAAAAAATACTCTGAAATCAACATGGGCTAAAACCGATGATATTTTAGACAGTATTCCATTCACGGTCTTTTAGATTTGCTCTTTTCGGTACCATAGATGGCTGTTTGTTTTAGCTTGCATGGTCAGAGCTCTAATAAGGGGGTGGAGGAAGGGATAATGGACATTTTTAGAGACCAGAGCTCTTCGTGCTTGTTTGATTCTTCTAATAAATCTGTTAGTTAACACTTTTTTTTCATTTTGTTGTTGTTCGTTACATTTGATCCTTTCACTATTCTGCAAACCATTTCAGTGTGACGTTTAATTTCTTTTTTAAAAAATATATATATCTTTTGTTCTCAGTCAATATAAAAACGAAGCACATTGCACTTACTGTTCCATAGGAAAGGTTTTTTTTTTCTTTTTTTTTTTAATGATTATTATTGTAGTTGCTCAAGCGGTGCAGCATGTTTGTTTCCTGCCATTGTCCTTGGCTCTCTGACGGGATGGGGGAGCGGTGTAGCTAAAGGGTTCGTTGGGACACTCGGCCAGAGGGACGACGCTAAAATCTCTCTATGGCCACTGTATCTACCCCATCGCTCATTTTAGAGGGCGGACCAATCTTTATGTCTAGGATTTTTGTCCCCTCTAGGGAACACCACCGATGAGTTCCAGGATGATTTGCGTTAGCGAAAGAAAAACGTGTTGCTTTGTTAATGTGGCACAAGCTGAGGGGGTTACTTCAAGGTGTATCACAGTTTTGATACAATGGGAATGCTGTGGAGGGCCTAGAGACACTTTGATATATATGTGTGTGTGTGTGTGTGTGTGTGTGTGTGTGTGTGTGTGTGTGTGTGCACGTCTAAGTGTACGTGTGTGTGCGGTCACACTCTTGCTAAATGTTTCGGACTGACTTTTTCCCTTCATCAGTGACAAAGCTAAGATCCCTTGGTTGGTTAGTGCTTGTGCAAAGGAGCAAAATTAGGTGTCGACGATATGATGGTGGAATACAGAAGATATGTGGAGCAGAAATTAAATAAAAACAAACAAATCTAGACAGCACAATGATAGACATTTGCTTGTTGTGTTGACATACTGGCGAATATAATCCACTATGGATTATTGTGTGAGAATTGATTACATTAATAAGTGCAGCTACGTTACATTGTCAAATTTTTTTTTTTAACTTTTTTGGTGCACCGAACATGCTGAAGCGTTAAGGTGATTCTTCTTTTTTGTTTTTGCCGATACAAGATGAGATGCTCTGGGTGTTCGATGTGACGCCGTTTCGAGCTTCACTGCACCATCATTGAAACAATGCTTGATTTTTTTTCAACACTTTAGAGAAACCATAACGTCGCTTTCCTGCGTAATGCATACATGTACCTGTCTGCTGATTCTTTTTTTTTTTTTTTATGTTTCGTATGTTTCTCTTTTTTTTTGTTTGTATTTTTGAAAATGAAATGGTTTCACTGCATGTAAGTCTTAGTCCCCAACCCGCCGATCCCCTCCCTAACACCGCAGACTGGCCCTCTCTCCCAAAGTTGAAAACTCTGAAAATAAAAGCCATGCGGTGTGTCCAAAGATTTCCACGATTTAAGAATCTGTAAAAATGTTGCACAAGGTCTTGTGTTTCTTTCTTCGTCGATATAAAAATATATTAATCTCTAATGTAATCCTTTCAAAGAGATCATTGTCCTCTTTGGCTAACACAGCGTTATTTAGAAAAGCAAAATGTCACTTGATTTGAACACACATTTACATCTTTCAGTTCTTTTCTTCATATAATGTGAAGTTTTGCGATTTTACAGCAATGTCTCTCCCCATGGAACAGTTTCGTTTGTTTTATCGCAGGGCTGTGGACAGCTTGGGCATTGTCTTTAATGTATCTAGGGATTTTTTCAGTTATGAGATGAGTATTTTTTTTAAAAAGATTCATTTTTTGTGCAGCTCATGTGGCTGCGACTTGCTTTAAAGGGTCTTGAGGACACTAAATTTGATTTGATATGTAGCTGTTTAGATACGCAGGGGCTGCTAAAACCGGTTCGGGAAAGCGAATTAGAATGCGATTCTGTTTAGTGAATGGAGTTAAATGTATCTGAGAAATTATGAAGTTCAAGGACGACCAATCCCAGTGGCCTCTGGCCTTCATAACAGCTCACTCTTTTGCTCAAAGAGCTGACACACAGCCTTTCCTACTCCCGAGCCATTCAAACCTGTTTAAAATGATCTAATACGGTTCTGGATTCCGCAGTCGGCCTTGGTAATTGGTTTGAAAGACTTTCAAAAGAATTCCAAATACCATCGCCATGGGAACACTGTCGAAATGCCCCTAGTTACACAGACAACTGCATGTGGTGGAATCGATTCTAAATTCTAACTCTAAAACTCAGAGTGGAAAGATACGAGGATATTCTAGGTCGCCATGTTTTGTGATGTTTCGCTATGCCCTCCAGCGGAGGTGCGTGTGTGCATGTGCGTGTATGTGTGTGCGAGTGTCTCTGTGATGAACGTTGTCTTTCGGTGTGCTGAGGTGATTGTGATGACCCCCGGGTGACCTCTCGATTTGTGACTACCATCCACACAGTTTGTTCAGTGGCTGTTGGGTTGGACCTCGAGTAAGGTGTGGTGCCATAAGGCAAGGTTGCAACCTAATGTAGAGCCAGGAAACCGTAATCAAAGTTCTAGAAAATGCTTACATATTTGGCTATTAAAACCACCTTAAATGTTGAATATATAGTTATATCATAATATATATATAAGAGAACACTGTTTTAATCATTTTCTCTAAAAAATCACTGATTCAAAATGCCCAAGTGTAAAAAAGTGACTACATCCTCTGAAGCCAGACAGGAGAGTTACCGGGGCAAGATTTCGGGTAAATTGCACATATTCGATTTACTTTTTTTTTTTTCGTTCGTTCGTTGACCAGTTCTCTTACTTTGCCTGAATTAAATTAAATCTCTGCAGACATTCTCTGTCACATTCATAAGACTGTCCCTCCTCGTGGATTTCCCCAGCCCAGCCCCGCCTCACAACTCTGCTAATTCAATACAGGCAAATGTTGGGAAGGACTAGCATGTTGTGTAAAGAGAAAAGAAAAACAACTCTACTTGTGTATTTTTGTTTGAAACAACTAAACGTGTGTGTGTCGAATGTGTGTTAGAGAGAGACTCAGTCCAGGCCCATGTAGAGTGAATGTACAGGGAGCTCAGTAGCTCCCCCTGCATGTTAAAAAGCAGTAGTGACTAGGCCTTCCTTCTCTTTTTTACTTATTCACTAATATACTTTTTATATAAAATTGAATCAACTTTAATATAATATAATACAATATAATAATATGTACTTTTTATTGTCTTTCTAAACATTTATAGTACCATATAGCCTTTTCCCCAATACTAATATAATATAATATATACATTTTAGAATTATTTATTTATATTGCCATATATATAGTCTTTTTACCAATGGACCTTTTTTACTTATTTACTAATATACTGCTTTAATATATAATTTAATTAAATTTAAACTGCATATGTACTTTTTTATTATTTTTCTCAACTTTTATAGCTTTTTATTTTAATTTATATAAATTCTAAATCGGGAAGAAAACATTTATTTCTGTCTGTAACCTTTTTCTTTAATAATGGGCTCTATAACAAAGTATTTTATTTCATTTTTTTTCAACACACATTGGCATATTTGAATCTGATGACCTTTATGTAAGCGATTACAGCAGCAACAACAAAAAAAGTTAAGCAAGTAAACTTGTTTTTATCATAAACAGGAGTCTATTTTAAATGTGCTCAAGCCCAACCAAGTTATTGCATGTTTCGCCATCAGACCTTGGCAGAATGATGTGTTTTTCCACCATATGTGTGTTTGCGTCTTGCAGGCCGGTATGACTAAGCAGGGGTATTGTTGAGGTAGGGGTGTAATTGTGCAGTGAGTGGGTGAGTGTACAGCAGAGACTGGAGGGGGAGATGTATTGGAGGGATGGGATGCTGCCCCATAATTAACCCTCTCCCTGTCTCTCCCACAGTACAGATGGTGCCTGCAGCCCATATGGCCCCTAATCCTGTCATTGGCATTCGGCTCCTTCCTAGCCTTTGCTCCTGCGCCCCGTCTCCCTCCCTCCCTCCCCACTTCCATCCTCGCTATTGGCTCTCTACCTTTCTAACAATGTCATATTGACATGGATAATATGACATTTGCCCAGCTTAAGGATTTGAGGGCAGTGGGCACACGAATGTTGAATGTCAGAGAACAGTGGCCAAGCCGGATGAATGCGCTGAACAAACAAGACAATTAGGACAATAGCAGTCGGACTCCATGTTGTTTAAATAACTATGCCAATAATGTTCGCCCATGGACTGCAGTCATTATTCACCGAATAACAGTGCGTGGCGGTTTCAAATTAGACTAGGGAATGAAACTGCTCTGATGGTCATCTTGGCCTATCATGCGATTTACTTGATATGAGCACATGCAAACACACGCTAAGTCTGGGGAAGCTGCTTAACTGCTGATTCTTGCCTCGGCTTTGATGTGTGGTGATCAGGTGGCGGCGCAGACCGACTGTTTAATCTCTCGCTTTCAGAAACCCAGGCAGACCTTTCCCCACCCCAAAACCCAGCTGAATTGGGGACAAAGAAGGCCCTAATTAGCCAAGATTGGAGGCAGATGGGGCTCTCCGTGTTGACCTCCAAGCCTCACATTGCGTCTCCCTTATTACATTTCCATCACAATCACCTCTGCACACAACCCATTGCTTTCTGACCTCTACTTTCTCTTTTGTTTTGCTCCTTTTGTCCCCGCCACTGATTCCTCCCCTTGCCCCTCCCATTCTCCTCCCCTCCTGCTGTCACGTCTGTCTTGGGCCCTGCTTTATTCCTCCCCATCGAGTGATTGAAGAGAACCTTACCTTGATGGTTTTGGTCTGCAGTTTGAGACCATTGAGCGTGTTGATGGCCTTGTCGGCATCATTGGGGTCCACGTAGTTTACGAAGCCGTAGCCCAAACTCTGGCCTGCAATAGTACGAACGAGAACGCATTGGAAAAGGATGCTTTGATGCTAATTTTCACCGAGACCAAATCGCGTGCTCACCTGTGATCTTGTCTCGGACTAATTTGCAGGACTCGATTTCTCCGATACTGCCGAAAAGGCTCTTGAACTCTTCCTGGGTCATGTTCTGAGGCAGATAGTTGACGATCAGGTTGGTTTTGCTGTCGTCCGCGGCACCGTTAGTGCTAATGACGGGGCCGTTAGGCAGGCTGGTTCCGCTCGGACCATTGGACACCTGAGTTTCCATGGTGCTAATTATCTGCAGGTGAGAAAATTACAAATTACACTCTAAATTGGGTGAAAACGCATAATTTGAGGGGCGTAATGCTTGGCATCCTGGTTTAGAGGTTAAAAATCAATGCGTCTGAGTGGTAGAGGGCCGGAGGAGAACAATATCCCACCTCCCCTCCTCCTCCTCTGACCTCCTCCCTCACTTCAGCTCTCTCCAACTCTCAGCCCCTGGCCATGCAGATGTCACAGTCCTTTCACTCTTTCCCAGCCCCCTTTATGCTATCCAGGGTCAAACAGCGTTACATCACTCGCCTCTGAGAGGATAAACATCAATGTATTTGCTAACACTATTTTTTTTAATTTCCTTTTAAGAAAATGCAATTCAGACAAATAAAGATGAGAAGATGGCACCTTGTTTATGTGAAAAGTGTGTTTGTGTGTGTGAGTGTGTGCGTGTGTCTGGGTCTTTGGTTCATCCATGTTGCTGTGGAGCACAGCATGATGCTTAATTTGGCCTATAGGGGATTTTCAAAGAACAGATGTATGCAGGTTGTAGACGCTACTTCAGTCTTTAACGGTCCCATTCTGTCACAATGCCCAACTGGAGTTCTCAAAGTCAGTGCTTTGCATCGTACCATAAGCGATCTGTCGTTTTTATCTCTTTTGTGATTTTCTTGTTGATTTTTTGGGGGGGTATTTTTCCCAAGGCTGCTACTCTCCAGAATTTACAAATTGGCGTGTGTAATGTATGTTCATGTATTAGTCATCCTTAGTTGACTGAAAGCGCTCTTTCCCCAGAACGGCCCCTGGGGGTGGAACAGGGTGTCTCACCAACTTAATTAACAATGCATCCGTGATTTTCTTTTTTTGTTGGAGTCCCACGATCAACAGGCAGAATCATCTGCCACAAGTGTCTTTGTTTTTTTTAGATTAAAATTGATTTTAGAAATCCTTCCAGGAATGTAATTGGAAATAAATTAAATTGTATCTGATATCTAATTAAGCGGTTTTTTTTTTAAATTTACATTCATTTGCACTAACAGGTGAATTTATAGTAGTGTGGGAAGTCTGTTCCTTTGTTCTCCCTTCAGCATGGCCTCTTCCTCTCATCTCTCTGTAACGCTCTGTCTCCTCAGTGGAATGATTTATTCTTGCCTTGAGCCTTACCTCTAACCAGGTTGCCCAGGTAACAGCAGCTTGACGACTGTTGCTATTGGCTGGCTTCTTGACTTTTAGTGTGTGCATGTTCGAGAACGAGCGCTCGGTTAAAATCGCTTTTTGTCTTGCATTAATCAAATAAGCTTTCGGGGCAGCCGGAATTTATATCTCAGGCAAATTGACACTGACAAGGAGAAAGCTCAGAGAGGCGAGTTATTAAAGCTCTGCAAACATGGACCTAGGCAAGACTGACTGTCACCCCAGCAGGAATTTCCAAGAAAAGGGCGTTCGTTTGATCACGAATGGCGATAAAATGGCATCTTTTGCTTGGGCAGTAGTCCATAGCCTTCATAGCCTGGGAACTATCTCGGGTTTAGAATGCAAACCTACTCAAACAGGCCCTGCCTATGCATTGACACAAACAGAGTGAGTCTTGACACAATGTGACAGGATCAGGGCAAATGTGATTTGTGAACTGAAGTAAACCTCCCTATGGCAAGCCACCCATCCTCAGCGATGAATGTAGTGAGTTACACAACGCGCAGACTCTTCGGCCACGCAGACTGACACGTACACTATCTTACAGCCCAGATACTGGCGCCAGCACCGCAGAGGTAGAGGTGGAAGAGCACTTCATCCCAAAATACATGACTCACATAGACAGGCGAGAGACTGCTTACTGCTGGAGTTCCTTCCACTGCGCTGCTTAAACATCACACACCTTATCAACTGAATCTACACTATTAAAAATAGGCCTTTCGAAACAAAATGTGGCCACTGAGCGGGCTTTGACGTTCCCGTCCCAGCCTGTACTTTTCTATTTCTGGGAGAGATCTCCCTCAATATTTAATGCACCGCATCGGCATCGCCTACACAAGGACCCAGACTCGCACGCAAACAAGAGCCCTGCATCTCATACGCAAAACCTATTACCTTCCCACCAGTGCGCTGATAAGGATAAATGACTGCAAAGATTCTTCTTAGTGAGTCTGTAATTAGAGTCTGCTGAAATGACCGTCAAGCAAAAGGGATTTTTTCCCCCTGTTGAATGTCACAGTACACAAATGTAAGAAAAAACCAAGCCACTTGGTTTAACTACCACCTTTTTTGTTCTTGAGAGACATAATGAGACTGACTTTAATTAAAAACACATCATGCTTTAAAAAAAACAGGCCTGAAAAGCAGCATAAGGAAAAAAAGCAATCTGACTGTGAAGACTATCGGCTCACGTCACTTCCTTAAAGTCCCTGTGCAGTGAGGGAGCCATTTTCTTAAAATAAACACAGTCTCGCACCAGATCCGGCGAGGTAAACAAATAAAGCATAAGGCTGATCTCATCTGTAGCTGTATGTAACATGTCAACATTAATTTTCAGACTGCCAGGGTAGCGATTGCCAGCATTATCGGTCAACGAAAATGAATCTGTGCTCGTGACATTTCTGACGCCTAATGCAGACCTTAATTTGATCATTTGTAATTCACAAACGTACGCGTCTGGACGGGCCTCCTGACTGAAATGTGAATGTTGGATTGCCAATAGGCCGTTTCAGTAACAGATTACAGGATTATCCTAAACAAAAGGCATTAGCCACACTCTCACTGCAGCTTAAGGGATCACTGTGGCAGCTGTAAAACAACAGGACACAAGTCAAAACTGAACGGATAAACCCTTTTCTTTGTTATTTATTTTTATCGGTGAATTGGGTTAATTTCACTCGTGAAATTCGCAGCGCGAAGATCATTGATTTAACACGCGGATACACAAGTCTCTCTTATATGTCCCCAAAGAGCGCCATTTTATTTTAAAAGATTTTATTTGCTATTTTCAATTATTATAATTCTGAAAGAACGCGGGAAGAAAAGGCGCTCGTGGTATTCTGGTATTCCTGTTTGGTCGCTATCCAGAGTGCTGAAATCGGGAGTGGCTCAAGACAACTACCTACAAAATATCCTTGGTGCCGCGGGCTCCGTTTTTTCAAGTGGGCATTAAGCTCTTGATGTCGTCCTTATAAATAAACACGTTTGCGAATCGTTTAAACTTGTTATCCTCTCGTCCTTTGATTGGACAAGTGCGCGTGTGCTCTGTGGGCATTCACAAATACGAGCTCCTTTTTGCTGAATAAACGTATTGACACAAGCGAACAAAAGAGCCACCCGTTCCTCCTCTACAGAGACCATGGCAGCACTATGAATATTAATGTAAACAGTAGCGCTTTGTGTCGAGGCCAGAGGCTGCGGGACTCTCCGGGAACAATGAGCATTGCAACTGTCTTCACTTTTACTCTATTCTACAGGAACAAGACCATTTAATAATAATAATAATAATAGCAAAAATATTAAAAATGTACATTTAAATAACAATGTAATCGAAGAAATGGCTGTAGCTCATGTCTTTCCTTTATATAAAAACAGCTGTATAATATTCTGTTCTATTCTAGAATAGAATAGAATAGAATTCTATGACTATGACCATTTATTTATATAGCACAATTAAAAACAACCCACGCTGACCAATGTGCTTTACAATAACTAAAACTACAACCAATAAAAACAGAAACAATTAAAATGGTAATACAGTACCATTTAAAAAAGTACTTCAGCATAAGAAAACGGTAATAAACGATAGAAAATGCTTCAAGTATTAAATGCTTTATCAAACAGAAAAGTTGTAACTTTGATTTAAAAGCGGGCAAAGATGGTGCCAGTCTATTTCGTAGAATTTGGTGCTATTCTAGTTCGTTGACAGTTTCTTTTTCTCACCCGAAATCCGCATTTAAATGGAATGGTCGTAATATTTAACAATTCATTTGATTATTTGGGCTGTAACATCAGTTTCTGTACTGTACCTGTTCAAATTCACAATAGACAAGGCCTGCATGGTGATCCTATAGCGTGCGTAACGGCCTTGGCATACAGTATAGCTACAAATACTGTCAAACATCTTCTTCTTTTTAAACGCCGTCTTTTTCTTTAATTGACAAACCCCTTTATGAACGATTAACGAGGGGCTCGCGTGTTCAGACGGCTGTGTTGTGTTGTGTATCGCTGTGATGTCCTTGTCCTTGAATTGCGAACGCGCCTGGAGAAGGTTATCTGACTCAACGGTTTTATGTGCTTTGGCACTGCGGTAGAGGCTCGCGCTCACGGAGGACTGCGGAACAACACGCCGAGGGGCCCCTCATTCATTCATCACACCATCGATCGAGACTTAAAGCGAAAGAGAAGCGCGTCGCTTCCTATCGCCTTTTGTTTGAGGTCACTATAAAACAAGTCCGGCTGTCCTTCACAGCTGACCAATATATATTTACTTATTTGTCAAGACTAGAGGCCTTTATAACCTCAAACGCAAAATGTTGTGTAGCCGACAAGGGTTTAGCCTAGGGTCATATTTAAAGTGGGCTATTAAAATGATATATATTACAAAACGAGTCGCCATTATAGCCAATCTAGTACCATTATCACGTCTTTCTGATAAGAAACAAAGACGGTTAACCTGACAGCACGCTTCATGTCGAGCAGGCCTGAAGGATTCAACGTAATTAATTCATCTTAACATTTTAAACGTGAACATGTTTGTATTCAAATAAGCGGTTCTGTTGTTTTCCCGCAGACAATCTACGTGAAGAGGGTGATTCTGTGCGCGTGCCATCGCTGTCTTCTTTTAGAGAAGACACGCCCAAAACGCTTTCCCTCAAGGCCTTTGTATTCCCCTCATATTGCTTATTTACCCTCTCGGCGTCTATGTATTTTTGGTGAGGGAAGAAGAAACACGCAACTCGCTAAGATATCGCAAGAAATGCGTGACATTTCGCCTTTTCCTCTCTCGCGGTGTCTTATATAGCGTCGCAAGCTTTAGGAATTTTGTCCTGCCCGATTCAGTCCAAACCAACGGATGCATAATATCTCCCCTCCCCCTCTGAGTGACTCGACCCTTCTCTTTGCCTTTGCTCTCGATGGGCTCTCAGCCTCCGAGGCATCGTGTTTTGTCTCGAGCATCCTTTCCGAGCGAGGCATGTGCCTTCTTACGCCCTTCTCCTGCCTCCGCCGCACCTCTGCTATGTCTGAGGAATTCCTCAGCGCTCTTTGTTAATAATGGCTAATTATCGCTTGAACGCGTTTAATTAGCGGATGTAGGAATAAATGTATGTTGCGGAGGGTTTGACGTATTACGTGATTCATGACAAATGGCTCTTACGGCAGGAGAAAGCCTTGTTTTGATTCTCCTCAGAAAACGAAGCGAGCTCGGCTGTAGCGATGCTCGCGCATGCCTGTATCACATTACTTATACCCTGGGCTAATCGTTAATCTTGTTTACGGAATCCGCGGTTAGATGTGCCAGTATGTTTGACCACCAAATGCTGTGTGCATGTTTTGGCTAGCTTGTATTGAAATACCCTATATTTTGTATCTAATTATGCATCTCAGCTGTTAGAATTGATTTTGTGGTGATGCTGTTACTGTTTTTTCAGGAGATAGACCAAAAGAAGGGCATACGTACAGTAACCATTCTTGATGTACAAAGATGATAGTGATCTAGGTCCTTCAAGTCGCAGGTCTTCAGGCTGTCTTGCAGATATTACGCCGTGGTGTGGCTCGACAAAGGCGAATGTCAGGTTCCAAACGAAAAGAAAAAAAAAAGAAAAAGGAAAAACGACAGTCTTCGGCAGGAAAGCTCAGCCCGTGCGATTGTAGGTTTCCTCAGCAGTGTGAAAATGAGGAGAAGGGGGTTTTCTTCAGGACGATGATGAGAGAGAGATTTCTCTCCGTGTGGCGTGGGCGATGGTTCAGAAAAAAAGAGAAGCAGTGATCCCCAGTAGGGTGTGTCCAGGGGAGGGTGTTGTGGTTCTGCTGTTGTGTGTGTATTTCCCAGCTCCTCGCAGGCTCCTTCTGTGCATCTGCTGCAATGTTCTTCTTTTATGTGTCCTTCTGGCTGGCAGAGCTTGCTGCTGATTGGCTAATTGTGCAGGGAGGGTACTACATGGCAGCCATTGCAATGCGCTCCTCTCCCATTATCCCCTTCAGGAGAGATCACCGAGAGCCCCCCGTCCCTCCACCCCTCACCATCTCTCCACTCTTCCTTTTGCCCTCCCTTTCTTCCTGCCCCCCCCAACACACATGCAGAGCTGAGTGAATAGAGCTCCACCTGCACTCCGAACAGATGGGTGCAGAAAAAGACAGGAGCCATGCTTTCTCCTTCTCTTTACCCCTCGCTCGCTCTCTCTCATCCCTTTACTCAAGCCTCAGTTTTTCCCTCTATTGATTATTTGTCCTTGCAGTGCAGCTCTTCTTCTCAAATTCCATCTTCTCAGTCTGACGTGTTGCATTTCTAAGAATGCCGTGAATGAGTCCGGCGGGTTTTTTTTCCAAATGCAGAATGGCTGTGCGAAGGCATGACTGTGTGAAGGTCATAACACGGCCCACTGCTTAACCGTTCATGTCAGGTGCGTGTTGAATGCATATATTGCATAATCGCACAAAGGCCAGTGCTTACAATATGGATTAAGACATCATTTTGGTTGTCAATGTCATATAGATGTCATGCATTGTTTGTATAATCCCATTGACTTAATGTCCAGCAACACCTAAAATCAGCAGGCATGTGTCTGCTTATTGTTGCTCGTTGGTGCTGATATTAAACATCGACACACACTGATTGCAGCGGTTGTCATCTCAAGCTCCCTTCCCCCCGTTTCCAGTCTCAGGGAGTGGGTAGAGCTCACTGAGACAGGCTGTTTGGTCTCATCTATAATGCATCTCCTGCCCCAGGACTTGATGTGTGACAAATGACCTATTTCTGCACAGACCCCCACAGGGCCTTGACCTGAGGGAGCGCGCTCGGTATATCTCTGTTACGCGGATGTCTTTGGCACTTTCATAGGTGCGAGTCTCCGTTGGGTGAAGTTGGAGGAGATGGTTGCAGAGCATGTAGACTTATGGAAATGCACGCTTAGCCAATGAGGCGTGAGGGGGATGTCATTCCCACTAGAGGATGTGTTTATTTTAGTCTGTTTATGTGCGCGCCGGAGACCGCGGAGGTCGCTGGAACTCACCTACATCCGCATCGGCCTTGGGTGACCTTGTGGAAGTCGAGCGCTGTGTGTGTGCATCTTCAGCAGAAGTTCTCTGTGATTATGCAGATTGTAGACAGTCACAGCACAGGTATCAGGCATCAGGAGTCAGAGAGGTACAGAGTGGGTGGTATTGTCGTTGGCGGGCAAATGTGCTGTAATGCAGATCAGAAAAATAGCATTTTCTCAACGTGTCTACTCTGAGTAATATACACAATTATATATATTTTGGGGCAATGGGTTCTTGGGAAATCATTGGAGATGGGCGAGTGGGCAGATGCGTTCAAACTCGTTAACCTTTTGATAATCTCGAGAGCGCTGATTGTTGTGCATTTCTGGGTTAGGGGTTAACAGTGAAGGCCAAGCATTTTCCGGTAATTTTGACTCAATCGGGTGCTCTGGAATGGATGGCAATGCGACTGCGACGGGTGTTATCATTTATTACGATTTTGAACTAGTTTTTGTTTTTTAATTTCTGTTTTCATTTGAATTTTAGCGAAAGCAATGGTCCACCCAAAAATGGTCATTCTGTCATCATTTACTCCTGTTTGACTTTCTTTCTGAGGAATATACAAGATATTTTAGTGAATGTTGGTAACCAAATGGCTTAGGGTCTCTCTGACATTGTATAGAAATAAAAATACTATGGAAGTCAATGGGACCCGGAACTGTGTGGTTACCAACATAAAATATCAAAATATAATCAAAATAATCAGAATATCTTCTTTTGTGTTTCACAGAAGAAAGTCATACAGGTTTGAAACGACATGAGGATGAGTAAATAATGAGTGTTTGTATTCTGGGTGGAATATTTCTTCAGTTTTAGTCATTTTGTTGTATATTAATTTTTATTTCAGTTTTAGTCTTAGTACTTGAAGTTAAACTAAATGAAAATGAGAACTGTTGCCTTGGCAACTAGCTGTAATAAAATAAGTTTTTCATATTTTATTTCAGTTAAAGTTTGTTTTATTATACGTAACATAATGGTTTTAGTTTTAGTTAACTATTGTAACCCTGACTGTGAATCGTCCTGGCCTTCGTCCTCCTCTCTCATGCTCCCTTTCACTTTCAGTTCTTCCTCCTCTCGGTTCTTGTCCCACATCTCTACCCCAGTCAGATTCTGAGTGTGGGCCCTGTCTGATATTTTACATAATTGCCTTACATAAGTAGCCAGCTCAGCTCAGAGCTTGGATGATATTAGTGGCGATGAATATTGCATGAGGAAGGCACTCGTTAAGCGTTAATAAGAGGATAGAGATGGGCCCTGCTGTCAGTCTGTCTTAACCCCGCCCACTCCTCTCTGTCAAGTCGCGTCCGAGTGAGGGGGAAAGACTTCGCCATTATAGGTGCGGGTGTTGTTTTCTGCTTTGTGAGCTGAATAAAAGCAGCACTTGTGGCACAAAGAGCCCAGGCCTGTTAGCTGCCTACGGTTCCACACGCACCCTGTTCACACTTAGTGTGAATAAACCGGCTTAATTGCAGAGGCTCATTAGGGGTCTTCGCTGGCAGCAGGGCAGCTGAATCCAGCCCGTGGGTAAGAGGGCATCTGAAGCACCTATTCACCACCCTGATTCAGAGGATCAAGCATGGCAGTTGCTTGAAGCTCTCTCAGTAATTTCACTGATGATTTTTAATGTTCAGGAGCCCCTCCAGAAGAGCCGATTAAGAGACTGACGCTTTTGTCAGTGGCATTATAGCATAAGAGACTCTAAGGCTCTTTCAATGATCATTGATTTTAGTCACTTTTTTATGGCCATCCAAACGTGGCTGTTGTGGAGATCGCTGGTGGAGGAAACCTTGTTTTTTGTCTAATAACTCAAAAATGTCTGTTTTACATTTGCAAATTGTGGATTTACATTTATGGGAAGAAAGCATGTTGTGATCGCGCTGAATCTATTTCGCACCAGCGCAGGAGATATGATTGTGTGAAGCAGATGTGTTCCACTGCTACAGCTAGTGTTATTCCCCTTATTATGGTCTGAGGTAACGGATTAGAATGGCTCAAATGTCTGTGCTAAAGAAGATTTTTCCTGGATTCGTATTTTCATTTGCCTTAAAATGCCTTCATTACCATATACAAATGAAAATATACATGTACACTGTAAAACATTATACTGTACACCATCCATTTCCATTTTGTATGGTCATAAACATTCTTTAGTATTTGGTTTCTGGAGCTGTATTTTCAGTTGAAATATTTTTTATATGATTTAATTTAAATAAAATGTGCAACATTGTTACTACTTTGAAAGGTGCAAATTAAAATAAAAAAAATATATTATATTAATATTGGTATCACCATGGTGTACTAGCAGAATTAGGGATATTAATGCACATATAAATAATAAATAAATAAATAAAAGCTGTATTCTTTCAACCATGATAATGCAAATTAAAATAATAAATAAATATATTAATATTGTTATCACCATACTATATTAAGCTAGGGACATTAACTAACATATATTATAAATACTTATATCATCCTTTAAATTAATAATCCTGTATTCATTTACCCAAGATAAGTCTAAACAGAGGTAATAGATACTATAAATTATATTCATAGTAATTGTGTAATATATTAATGTTGTTTGCAGCATGCTGTATGTATGCATGAAAGGTCACTATAGATGAAAATGTCAGGCAAATGCGTAAAATGTAAATGAAAAACTAATATCCTTTACCATGCAATGTTCTGAAATCAGTTTAATGATTTCTATTTCATTTCAATGTCATCAGTATCATGTATCAGTATCATATTCTCAAATATTTAATCCAGAGCTTTTTTGCAGTGCTTCAATATTAGTCCTACCTCTTTTACAGACGTCTTATGAATTAATAGTAACTCTACTTGAGTACACCATTTCAGCATAATTTGGACCTCTGCTCACGTACTGAAAGCGGTAGCTCAGGATGTAGGAACATATAATGAAGAGGAATCTCATTATCCAGCTATGCTGAGCGTGACGGCTCATGTAATCATAGTCAATACACTGTTTGGCATTTGTTATGACAGTATTTCATGAAGGGTCCTGACTCATAGAATGCTGTTATGTTGAGTTTATATGTAACTTGGCGACACCTGCAACAGTATGTGCAAACTGTAAATCACACTAGCCAAGGTGCATCTTAAATATATACAGTAGGGTCCAAAGGTATGAGACCACTTGAAAATCCGAGGTGTTTTTTTATTTTATTTAAACTTATACAATGAAAGCTTTAAGATTTTGATGGATATAACACAAAGAAATCTTATCAAATGTAAAATGGATAGGAAATATTTCAGATTTTAGATTTGTGATGTTCATCATGTGAACACTTTGTACAGACGGTCACATGTTCTTCCTCCATTGAAGCTCAGAATGCTCTTTGGATCTTCTCAAATCATGCTGGAGAACATGATCATCAGGTTTGACACAAACTTATGAAGTTCATGCAGCTCAAGTGCTGCTGCCAAGAAAGCAAAAACAGGAAAGACTGAATAAAACTTTTTCACATTTACATAAATGTTATGCGTACTGAGAAATTCTGAAATTCATGTACAAGTACATTGTCATGTATCACAAATTAACTTATTATTACTGACCTAATTTTATTACTGACTTACTGAATTTTATTACTGACTAAATGATAATTAAATAATAAACATTTTAAAATGACTTATTAATAAACGTTGACCTTTTGATTATTACTGATGCCTCTAGTAATACTAATTATGTGTCTGATTTATTTATTTAAGATTTTTTTTGGCATTTTACGCCTTTTATTTAGATAGGACAGTAGGTCAACAGGAAGTGAAGTGGGTGAGAGAGAGAGGGGGGTGGGATCGGGAAAGGTCTACAAGCCCAGACTCGAACTCAGGACGCCCAAAGTGCAAAGGCGCTACATGTCAGCGCGTTGCCCATGAGGCCATAGGCACCGACATGTGTTTGATTTTTAATTTAG